CTGTTCTTCTCTGTCGGCACAAGCAACAGATATCTTCTCCTTGAACCCTAGGGTATACCGCATGACTCCTCTTCTATACGCACGCAGACATCCTCTTTGGCACATAATAATAAATGCTCACTTCTCATCAACTCCAATAAACACCAATTTCAGACTCCTCCCCCCATATAGGTTGGATCCATCTGAAATACTCGCTTTTTTTCCCCCTGCGGTTTTGTACAGCGTAAAAATATAAAAACATGCTGTGTAGTATGAGACGGTTGTCTCCAGGTTCGCGTGTGAGCAAGTTACCTTTGGGATGTGTGGTGTGGATACACACTAGTTCAACCTTTGGTGGAGAGGCTGACGAGTACGGGTAGTTGTGTTGTGAGTCAAGGGGGGGAGCAACCTTGTGTTGAAGCAAGGTTCAGCGTCCATCCTCACTGACTCTATCTATCTGTGGCAACACCCCGAAGGTAGATCTTCGACAGGTCATGTGACGTCACAATCTACGACGACAGTCTGAGGTGGCATTCACAGCACCCCCCTATCTTCAATCTCGGGGCCTGAATCCGGATTGAAAGATACAAGAATTCATTACACTCCAGAGTGTATGAAATTGTGTGAAGTACTGATGAAAAACACGAGTTAAATAACTTTCGCCGTAACGTACGGCGACTGCCATCATTCAACGAATGCTCTCTTTGTGTTTTGTAGTTAGAAAATTTGGAAAGTGTCACCAAAATATCTCATCCGAGCCTCAATCGTCATTGTGCAGTCATAACCTAACCCTAAGTTGATACCTCGCATAGCGCGAAGAGGGAGTGGAGGATTCCAGAATATCTGTCGTTGATTTCTATTGACTTGCGGACCCCTCGGGGCCAGTTTATTTGAGTGTACCTTTTTAGGGTAAGTTAACCTGTGACCACGGGAATCGACCGCGTCGAGTGTTGGATCAGTACGGACATACGAAGGTACTGGGTAGAGAGAGATCGGAACGGTTTTTAATGTGAAGACAACAACAACAACAACAACAACAACCACAGCGTGCACGAGAGCAATTCAGGAATTTTGGCAACTAATCCCGTACGACGAACGAATAACTACACAGAACTACACATAGAGTCACTTCAGTCCGCCTCAGCGCTGTAGGTAACATGTGATCCACCGTACGAACGAACGACGGGTGTACAGAATAAAACATCACTTCGGTGCGGGTCTTGCCCCGATAGTGTATAAAAACTGCACAAGTAGTACCTCGAGACAACGCCGTGAACTATTTTGTAGTTGCACGTAACGAACATCCAGCAACGAAAAATTATTTGGCAGTGCACCTGTGAAAAACGATTGCTTGCAAGGCTTAAAGTTCACAAGTGTCGAATGGCAAATGACGTGGGTCGACCCGCTGGGAAAACGTTGCTCAAACGATATGCAGCGGCAACAACGAACGAACATATGTGCACAGCTCATGGAGAGCTAACGATACGACCTTCTCATGCGATCACGCAAATGCGAGGCGCTGCATAGACGAACGACGACGAATGAATGGTGATTTCGAGTACAGCAAACGGTATGCTGTAGCATCCTGCCGCTGACGCCACTATGAGACGGTTGTCTCCAGGTTCGTTCGCGTGTGAGCAAGTTACCTTTGGGATGTGTGGTGTGGATACACACCAGTTCAACCTCTGGTGGAGAGGCTGACGAGTACGGATAGTTGTGTTGTGAGTCAAGGGGGGGAGCAACCTTGTGTTGAAGCAAGGTTCAGCGTCCATCCTACACTGACTCTATATGTGGCAACACCCCGAAGGTAGATCTCCGACAGGTCATCTGACGTCACAATCTACGACAGTCTGAGGTGGCATTCACAGCAGTAGCGTACTTTGTTTGCCCTTGCTTCGTTATATTGATTTTATGGTAAGGAAAGTTGAGCAGCGGTCCCGTCCCCTCGTCGACCATGAAATCGAAAAAAAGTGTGTAATTCTCACGAAAAATACTTCAAGTACTAGTAGCCCAGTCTTTCTAGTGATCATTGCTGCACTGCAATTGTTGTTGTATGCATAGGCACAGAAAAAACCTCCAGAGAGAGAAGAAGCGAACGCACCTGCGACGTACAACAACAGCAGTAAGTTCCTCCGCCGTGATTTACCCATCAATTGGTGACAAATCATCGAAATAAAGTGTAAGAAAGTGGAGTAAACTTATCCGTGCGTTTTGCGCGTTTTCTGGAATTTCGCCGAGCAGTTTAGTTATTTGTGGATTTCAACGTCAAGTGCACAACCAACGGCTGAGTGCAGTGCGTGCGGGTACTTGGTTGGGTGGATTGTCTCTGGTGGGAGTGTTGGAGCCATGATCTGTCTCAAATGGAACGCGTGGTGGTATGATTGTGTGTGTGTGTTTGTCCCATCTGTTCTGGCGCCGGTTTACAGGCCTTTGGGCGTGTTTACCTGACTCACGCACACAAGAAGAGGAAAGTCCACACAACAGGAGCTTTTTTTCATTTTTTGTTTTGTTGTAGTGCCCCACCTTTCTTTACCCCTCCCTGCGGTGGTTGCCTTGGTTTATGTCGCGAGAAGGGTTCAACCTTCCCTTTCCCTCTTGACCGTGAAGCCGAACTTTGTTTACTCAAGACCTGTACATCGGTTTCAACTACAGGTTGCTTGGAAATCCCGGGAAAAAATCCCTCCGAGGATAGAATCGAACCCACAACCTGCCGCTAGGGAGCTAGGGAGTCGCGGTCAATGTCGAAACGACATACTGTAAGGTCTCAAGACATGCAATTACCCCCCCCCGCCGCGCCCCTCCCCACCCCCCACCCCTCTCTCCCGTCTTATCTTGATACCTCAGGAGGGGTTTGCATTCGCCGAGAGGCGGGCAGCAGACTTCGAGACTCTACGTGTGGACAAGGTGTGTGTGCGGGGGGGTCCTGTTGTGGGTGGTATGGGCCGACTGCCCAGTGGAGAATGAATGCGCCGTTTTTAGCGGAATGATAAACGGTTGCGTGTGTTATTGTGTGGTTCCTTGATTTTGTTTGCATCGGTTGCGCTAACCGGCTGACCGAAAAGACGCCAGTGTCCTACAGCGTATAGAAAACGCCGCTCTCGAGTCATGTGTGGTCGTGTGTGTTTGTTCGATGGGCATCGACCTCGTTTTCCGGCTGACCAATGACAAGGCGCCAGTTTTCGTAGTAAGAGACATAACAAACATTATGGTGTGTGTGGACGTACCCGCACCGGCGGTATGACAGACAGAGAAGCCTGCTGCGTCCCAATGAGCTTCAGATGGGAAACCTCCAAGGATGCTACCTGCTTTCTGTCCCCCTCAGTTGCCCGCACTTTACAGCGTGGCGGCCCCACCGCTAACTTGCCCGTTATCCCTCCGCCTGCTCGTGTCTTTTTGTGTGCTGCACGCGCCCGCGAAATGTTCGGCGTCTCTTTCAGATCGAGCGGCCCCCCTTCGAGATAACGCGCTTCCACGTGTCCAACGTCACCGCGGAGGAGTTCAGAGACAAGTACGAGTCGATACACGAGCCCTTGATCATCGACGTGAGTGAGGTCACCACAACCCTCCCTGCCTCTCCCGGGCTACGTTTCCTTCCGTACTTCTTTTGCGTGTGTACGTAAGCTTCTCGTCGAGAGAGACTAGGGTACGAGGCGCCGGCGGCGGTGTGCCATTTCGCAGACGATAAATCGACTCTCTTCTTGAATTGGCGCGCTTGGGTGTGGGTGTGGGGGGCGGGGAGGGGGGTGACCATTTATTGCTTGCCTTGGCCTTTTCACCATGAACTATTATACTACGCATCCCTTTCGAGACGGGCCGTTCGTCCTTCCCGCACCTGCTACGTTATTATAACACCACGTTGATATGCATACCGCGGGCGGGAGGT